CATCCCCCGAGGGCTGCCGGGCTGCCAGAGGGATGTCTGATTGCCAGCTTAGGCCCAATCCGGCGGGGAGCAGGCCTAAGCCAGCAAGTGGTCACCCCCGAGGGGTCCCAGACTGCGAGAGGGCACAGGCCGGGCTGAGGGACCCCCCCCCCCCGAGTGCACAAATTTCACAAATTTTTGTGCACTGGGCCTCTAGTATTTAATATTTAAATTAAACTTTCAGTTTGCAGAAAACAGAGGGATAAAAGTGACCCCAAATAATAAAATCAAACAAACTAGAATGTGGAATACTCTGCAAGATAACAGGCTAAGTTTTTCAAGAAGATAATGTCCTACATGTAGTGAGTTACTTTTAAAAAGCACAAGATGAAAAGGAGGAAAAAAGAGTAACTTTACATGGGCGAAAATAGAAACTGCCTAAACCAGATGGTCATGATATAGTGATAACTCATGTTAATAGCATGTGCTTGATATGATGTGATGAGAATGTGATTACCCTTTTTCTAAAACACATTACCCCAGGCTAATTATAAGAAAAACATCAGAAAAATCCCAGTTAAGGGTCATTCTGCAAAATACCTGACTAGTACTCTTCAGAAATGTCAAGGTCATTAAAAACAAGGAAAGCTAGCCCAACTGGTGTGGCTCAGTGGTTGAGTGTTCACCTATGTACCAGGAGGTCATGGTTGAATTCCTGGTCAGGGCACATGCCCAGGTTGTGGGCTCAATCCCAGTAGAGAGCATGCAGGAGGCAGCTGATCAATGATTCTCTCTCATCGTTTATGTTTATACTAGAGGCCTGGTGCATGAAATTCGTACACAGGGGGAGGGGGGGGTTCCCTCAGCCCAGCCTGCACCCTCTCCAATTGGGGACCCCTTGGGGGATGTCCAACTGCCGGACATCCCACTCGCAATCTGGGACCACTGGCTCCTAACTGCTCCCCTGCATGCCTGCCTGATCGCCCCTAACTGCCTCTGCCTGCCAGCCTGATCACCCCTAACTGCCCTCCCCTGCCGGCCTGGTTGCCCCTAACTGCCCCCCGGCAGGCCTGATCTTGCCCCCAACTGCCCTCCTCTGCTGGCCAATTTGTTTCTGATCGGTCAGTTTCTATGCCAGTCAGCGTTAAAAGCTCCACCTCCTAGGAAGCCATTGGCTCCCCACAGAACCGAGATTTGGTTCTGATTGGTCAGTTTCTATGTGTCAAAAGCTCTGCCTCCTAGGCAGCCATTGGCTCCCACAGCACCCAGATTTGGTTCTGATTGGTTGGTTTCTATGCCAGTCAGCATCAGAAGCTCTGCCTCCTAGGCAGCCATTGGTTCTTCACAGCACCCACATTAGGTTCTGATTGGCCGTTTCCTATGTCAGTCAGCATCTTCGGGCCTATCCCCGGGCCCAATCAGAGAGGGTGGGCTGAACAGCAGCCCTTGCGGAGGCCGGGAAAGAAAGAAAGGCCCAGCTGCTGGTCAAGCCTGGAAAGAAAGAGGGAGAGAAAAAGAGAGGCAAGTACTGATCAACAGCTCTCACTGAGGCTGCTGATCAGACCCTGCCTCTCTCTCTGGGTCTCAGCCTCCTGGGCAGTTAGTGCTGGGTCACCAGGCTGCAGTGGGGCAGTCAGTGCTGGGTCCCCAGGCAGCAGTGGGGCAGTCAGTCAGTGCTGGGTCACCAGGCTGCAGTGGGGCAGTCAGTGCTGGGTCACCAGGCTGCAGTGGGGCAGTCAGTGCTGGGTCACCAGGCTGCAGTGGGGCAGTCAGTGCTGGGTCACCAGGCTGCAGTGGGGCAGTAAGTGCTGGGTTGCTGGCAACCCAGCGCTGACTGAAGGACTTCCGGGTTGGTCAGCCTTTGATCGTGATTGGTAGTTATGACTCTGGGCTTTTATATATTAGGATATCTCTCTCTTCCTCTATTTTCCTCTCTGAAATCAATGAAAATATTTTAAAAAAGAAGTCCCATTTGTTTATTTTTCTTTTGTATTTCTTGCTCAAGAAGATATATTATAAAAAATATTGCTATGAGAAATGTCTAAGATTTTACTGCCTGGGTTTTCTTCTAGAAGTTTTATGGTTTCAAGTCTAACATTTAAGTCTTTAATCCATGTTGAGTTTATGCTTGTGTATGGTGTAAGAAGTTGGTTTAGTTTAATTTTGTTGTACATATCTGTCCAATTTTCTCAAAGACATTTATACTTTGAATGCCAGTTTGGGGACTGTTAAAAACAAGTTGAGTGCCAGAGAGAGTGCATTATTGCAGATAG